GACACAGAATTGTTACTCAGGGACAGACACAGAATTGTACTGAGGGACACAGAATTGTTACTGAGGGACACATAATTGTTACTGAGGGACACAGAATTGTTACTCAGGGACAGACACAGAATTGTTACTCAGGGACAGACACAGAATTGTTACTCAGGGACAGACACAGAATTGTTACTCAGGGACAGACACAGAATTGTTACTGAGGGACACAGAATTGTTACTAACGGGGAACAGAATTGTTACTGAGGGACACCAGAATTGTTACTGAGGGACACAGAATTGTTACTCAGGGACACAGAATTGTTACTCAGGGACACCACAGAATTGTTACTCAGGGACAGACACCAGAATTGTTACTGAGGGACACAGAATTGTTACTGAGGGACACAGAATTGGTTACTCAGGGACACAGAATGTTACTCAGGGACAGACACAGAAATTTGTTACTGAGGGACACAGAATTGTTACTGAGGGACACAGAATTGTTACTCAGGGACACAGAATTGTTACTGAGGGACACAGATTCGTTTGTATTTACAGGTACCAGAATTGAAAGGACAGACACAGAATTGTTACTGAGGGACACAGAATTGTTTACTGAGGGACACAGAATTGAATTGTTACTCAGGGACACAGGAATTGTTACTGAGGGGACACAGAATTGTTACTGAGGGACACAGAATTGTTACTCAGGGACACAGAATTGTTACTCAGGGACAGACACAGAATTGTGTTACTGAGGGACACACGAATTGTTACTGGAGGGACACAGAATTGTTACTCAGGTACAGACACAGAATTGTTACTGAGGGAGACACAGAATTGTTACTGAGGGACACAGAATTGTTACTCAGGGACACAGAATTGTTACTCAGGGACACAGAATTGTTACTCCGGACAGACACAGAATTGTTATGAGGGACACAGAATTGTTACTGAGGGACCACAGAATTGTTACTCAGGGACAGACACATAATTGTTACTCATCAGGGACAGACACAGAATTGTTACTGATGGGACACAGAATTGATTACTCAGGGACAAACAGAATTGTTACTCAGGGACACAGAAATGTTACTCTCACGGACAGACACAGAATTGTTACTGAGGGCCACAGAATTGTTACTCAGGTGGACAGACACAGAATTGTTACTCAGGGACAGACACAGAATTGTTTACTCAGGACAGACACAGAATTGTTACTGAGGGACACAGAATTGTTACTGAGGACACAGAATTGTTACTCAGGGACAACAGAATTGTTACTCAGGGACACAGAATTGTTACTACGCAGGGACACAGAATTGTTACTCAGGGACAGACACAGAATTGTTACTGATGAGGGACACAGATTTTGTTACTCAGGGACACAGAATTGTTTACTCAGGGACAGACACAGAATTGTTACACTGGGGACACAGAAATTGTACTCAGGGGACAGAACAGGGACAGAATTGTTACAGCAGATCATTTAATTAAAGAGTATGTCAGACAACACGCAGAGGAGTGGCAGAGGAGGCAATGTTTTTTAGGAGCGAGCAGATCGTCGTGGCAGCAGAGGAAAGGGGTGGAGGCAGCACTAGTCGCAGCCAGAGGCCAGTGCTCCCATTGTGGTCATCCAGCGGTCGTGTCTCCACCGACAACCCTGCCGTCATCGATTGGTTGGCTTGGTCATCTTTCCTCTTCCCAGGTCACCTCTGACACCTACAGCCAACGGTCGGTGGGTACGTCAGACACAACCGTTAGTTGGCATGGCCGGGAGCAAGCCCACTGAAAATCACGTGTCCTCTACCTGCCCCTGGTTCCTTTGTGTTCCCTCACCAAGCGAAGTATCGCATGCTGTGGGCTCAGCCCCACTGTACAGTGAGGAAGAGCTAACAGAGGGAGGTCAGGAATGGGGGGAGACATCCGCCTCTTTCAGCAGCCAGGCGAAGAAGTAGTGGCGAGGAGAGTGGCTCGGTAGCCGGTCTAGAGACAGGATCTGTCTCCTGACCACACGCAGCCGAGGGGGCTAGTAGTGAGGCGGAGACCCTAATTGATGATGATGAGGCTGATCGCACTTGGCAGCCCTCGTCGTCATCAGGCTATTGCTTCCGCATCATTCAGGAGAAGAAGGTGGGATGGCAGCTTGGCAGCGAGCAAAACAGTCGTGGGTTGCCAGGAGGCAGCAGGGTCGCAGCAGTGTCAGTGGAGGCAAACGGCCACGGAGTAGAGCACCAGCTCCACTGCAGCCTACCACCACGGCCCAGTAGTGGTGCCCGGTGTGCACGGAGGAAGTAGCAGTCATATCCAGTGAGGAGTATCCGGGGGCAAAGTTTCCTACTCATCGGCGGTGTGGCAAATTTTTCGTCAACGCCCGCCCGAGGAAGTAAACGTAAGCCGTATGTCGACTATGTGGCCAGAAATGTCAAGCGTGGCCAGGGGGGCCCATGTTGGGACTACAGCGTTGCGTCAGCATAATGCAGCGTCGCCATTTGGTGGCCTGGGAAAAACCGTGATAAAAGATACGGCATTTCTGCCTGCCCCAGCCCCCGCTCCATCACCCGCTCCGTTACTTGCTCCGCACCCGACGTCAATCGCCCTCTATCAGCCAGTCAAGGCTCCAACACCTCTGCTGAGGGGAGTTGTCGCTCGTTGGCATCTTCCGCTCGTTCAGATGCTCCTTCTCCTGCTACTCCTCTTCACGGATTCCGGTCAGCAGTCTTTCTTGGAATACCGTTTCCAAGAGACAACAGTTTGCGAATACGCACCCGACGGTGCAAAAGCTGAACGTCCTCCTGTCCAAGTTGCTGGTGCTGCAGTCCCTCCCTTTCCAAGTGGTGGACTCAGCACCTTTCCGAGAAATGATGGCTTGTGCCGAGCGCGGTGGAGAGTGCTAAAAAAAAAAATAAAAAAACCAAGCCGGCAATTTTTTCTTCGCCAAAAAGGCAGTGCCAGCCCTGCATTCACATGTAGAAGAGATGGTGGGCCAGTCTTTGAGCATGTCGGTCTCTGCCAAAGTGCACGGCAGCGCCGACGTGTGGAGCTGTAACTACAGTCAGGGACAGTACATGTCATTTACGGCCCACTGGGTGGGAACGTTCGGTGCCTAGGGGGTGGGCAACACAGCCGCACCAGCAACTTGGACAGGTTCACTGCCGCTTTTGTCCTCCACGTTTGCCACTGTCCTTGGTCCACAAAAGATGTCCGCCTCTACCACCTCTTCTTCCGCCGTGTCCTCAGCCGCCACCTCCCGTGCCAAGTCCCATTACCCAACCGGCATATCACATGTGCAGGGCGCAACGGTGTCAACGCTGTGCTGCACCTGGTAATGCCTTGGCGAACGTAGTCACACAGGGTGAGGAACTTCTCAGTGTAATGAACAGAGAAATCGACAGATTGGCTGTCTCCGCGCAAACTGAAAATCGGAAAACCATGTTTGACCGACAAACGGAAAGAACATGGTGTCTGCTCTGCGTCAAGGAAGGTTGTGCCATGCGCCATGCATGGCTCCACGTGTTCAATCTGGTTGTCAAGCGGTTTCTAAAATCCACCATCCCACTGCAAGACATCCTTAAAATGTCACGTAAACTTTGCATGCATTTTAGCCATTCCTACACCGCAAAGCAACACCCTCCTTGAGCTGCAGCGGCAGAACGGGAAATTCCACAGCATCGCCTGATCTGCGACGTTGCAACAAGGTGGAATTCAACTCTACACATGTTAGAAACCCCGCCGCTTTACGAACAGCGAAAGGCCATCACCGATTTCCTGATGTTTACAAGCGGATAAAGGTACTCCCCTGTGTAACTTCGATGTCAGCCATTGGCAGCTCATGCGTGACTACACCTGCCGCTTGCTCAGGCCCTTTGAGGAGGCCACGCTATTCGTGAGTCGGCAGGACTATGGGATGAACGACGTTATTCCTCTGTTGCACGTCCCTGGAACAAATGCTGTTAACAATGGCTGGGTCAGGGTGCGGTAGACGTGGCGCACAGATCTCAACGCCACATGACCCCTGTGGGGGCAGGAGAAGGAAGAAGAGGAGGAGGTAGAGGAGGACATTTGTGCTCAGGAAATTATTGAGTGAAATGGGTGGTTTTTCCACTCAGCGGACAGGAGTGGAGGAGCAGGAGCATCTGGTAGAGAGGAGGAGGAGACAGAGGACCCAGACGCACCGTGGCAGTATGCTGTGGAGGATGGAGGCAGGGAGTCCCTCGCATTTTCCTTGGCACAAATGGCCCATAGCATGCTCGGTTGCTTGCGTAGCGACAGCCGAAATAATAACCATCAGACCAGCTAGAGGGCATGGACTTTTGGCTGTCCACCTTGTTGGACCCTCGCTACCGTTTCAAAAATGGTGGCCTTTTTCACACCTGCTGAGTGGGAGCCCAAAATAACGTACTATAAAAAACCACCTATGTAGTCAGTTGGTCTCTGCCTTTCTGCGCGCAACGTCCATCCTCAGACACTGGGGCCCTGTGTGCTCGCGTTCCGCTGCCATTGGCAGCAGGGGAGGGGTGGGGTAGGTAGGAGCAGTGGCAGCTCCACCAGCAGCGGCTGCCTCAGTCTGCAGTCGATGTTGAGTAGCTTTCTTCACCAGCGCAGTGAGGAAACTACTAACCAAGCCGCAGCAGCAGCAGCAGCATCAGGTGGACCTGGAGCAGGACCTCAAACAACAGGCTTGGGCCTACTTGGACAGCACCCTGCCAACCGAGGTAGACATCCCCTTGACTACTGGGCAACGAAACTTGACCTTTGGCCCCAACTAGCTGAATTTGCCCTTGAAAGGCTGTCATGCCCGGCCAGTAGCGTGGCATCGGAGCGCGTGTTTAGTGCGGCAGGAGAGGTATTGTAACTCCGCGGAGGACACGACTGTCCACCCAAAGTGTGGAGAGACTCACGTTTGTGACAAAAATGAATCAGGCGTGGATTAGTCTGGATTTCAAACCACCAGTTCCTGACACAACTGACTAAATCCGCCATGAATCATGCCCCAAACATGTTATTATTTTAACATAGGACTCTGTATGGCCTTCAATTTAAGCTGCTTACGCTTCGCCACTCTGCCATGGGCCCCTGTACCGCCTCCTTTTGCTGCTGCCAGGTCCAGAGTGTGTCATGGGTCCCTGTACGGCCTCCCATTGCTGCTGACTACTTCATCGCCACACTCTGCCATGTGCCACTTTCAGGTCTCCTTTACACTGTTGGTGGGTTCCATTTTGTCATAGGGTGCTGGCAGATTACGGGCCTCCCATTGCTGCTGCCAGGCCCCGTGACTGCCCAAATGAGTGATGTGTGCGGTGATTCTAAGATCGACGGCACTCATCTGCATGTCATACTGACTGACAGTATTATTTCTCTTCCCCAGCAGACTCCAAGGGCATTTAAATTAAAGGTACAGTGTTCTGCACTAATATAAAGGCTCTCTGAAGCCTAAAACACCTTTTTATAAGTTAAATTCGCAGCGAATATATTCGCATCGAATCAAATTTATTCCTCGAATTTGCCGAATCAGCCGAATCGAATCTTTTTTGAATACTTCGCTCATCTCTAATTGCTATTGCAGCAGGTAATTGCGATTTCTTATCTAGAAAAGAACTGGCCACTGTGTGCAATGATAGCAATGAGAAACTACATGATAAAAAAAAAAAGCAGAATAAAAGGCTTAACATTACTGTCCAATGTTTTTATGTACAATATGTTTTATGTACAAGATGTACAAGATTCTTGGAAGGCTATGGCATAGTGTCTGTCTTCACCTGTTACACACAGCAATGAATGTGTCATCACCATATCCTAAAGTTGCACTACATATGGCACTGGTTTCCAATGTTCAACCACCAAATCAGTATCACTACCTGATTCTGAGACAAATTAGTCATGATAATAAGTAATAGTACTAATAATGGCAGAAACACACTAATTATATGCACTATGGGCACTTTCCCATTACATCTCTTTTCTAAAGCTGGCCATACATGTATAGATTTTTGTTCGAGAATTTTAATTTCAAGAATATTTGTTTTTTATTTTCTAATCGTTAGTGGGGTGAAATCGATGTTTGTTTTCAACCGCAGTGACGGGTAAATTCGAAGTGGCGTAAAGGAAAACTTTCCTCGATCAAGCAAATTTTTGGTCAGTATATGTGGTTATCGTTCAGAAATTACATTCATTTTAAACTGGAATGTTAAAAGCAAAAAGACAATTTTTGGACAACATTCATCCATTCACCGAATGTTCAAAGAATTATTGTACGGCTTTTCGTATGAATATTCTAGTCCGAAAATCTACACGCGTAGATTAAGTCTCACTCCTGCTCACATTGCAAAGGTGAAGAGTTTTCATATACCTTCATTCTCTGAACCTTGAACCACTGCTTAAACGCCGGCTGTATGTTTATCAGACAATGATCAAGGCACCTTGAGTTATTAAAACAATTAAAGAGAAGGCATTATCTAAAATATTGACAACCAGTACTGTTATTATTTTGCAAATGCATGTCTAGGCTTTTATGGCAATAAATGTCCAATAAGAATGACAAAAAATAATGATCTAAATAATCACACAAAACTGGATTTTTGAATGGCTAATTTTTCCAAAGTTGCAAAAAGGACAAAACTCAATTACGGTAGTTATTTTCTAGACACCAATAGAACTCCAATGCCAGTCTAGCATGCTAAGTTGGTAAATATATTTGTCAATTGCCTTATAAAGTATCATAATTTGCCTATAAATCAAAATACAAATGAATCATATAGCCAGAAATACACTGCTTGCCACAATATTTAAGATTGTTTAAATTTGCTGTTTCTAACAGGGAAAGTAAAACACCTAACAAAATCATTCCAGTGTATCTCTATTTCAATATCTATCTATTTATCTATCTATCTATCTCTATCTATCTATCTATCTATCTATCTATCTATCTATCTATCTATCTATCTATACAGTGAGGCTATATTTCTTGTTAACAGGGGGTCACACATTGCCTGGAAGAGAGTTTAGTAATGATTCTTCACTTCAGTAGGTAGGTTTTAAGTGAATGTCAAATGGTTCTAATTATTTTTCAGTAATAACAGAATGTAAGAAAAATTATCTATCTATCTATCTATCTATCTATCTATCTATCTATCTATCTATCTATCTATCTATCTATCTATCCTGTAGTTATCTATTAGGGAAGAGTGAACTTGTCTGGGTTCAGTTTGCAGACTGTTTACCTATCCTATCATCAAGTCCAAAAATTGCTAACTTAAATCCAAATCCCATTAAAGTCTATGGAGAGTAAATCTTGAAAATAAATTCTGGTCATTTTTAAGGTGACATGGGGGAGTTAATTTAGTGCGATTTTGATGTGGACCCCCAAGCTACACTATAAAGGATAACCAAAAGTGATGGTAGGTAGTAATGTAAGCCACATGGGTGGACTGACAACTCATGGGGCCCCCGGGCAATAGGAAATCATGGGGCCCCTGTGTCCTCGCCCATACTCAAACCACACCCAAAAAAGCCTATGAAAGTTACCAGGAGCATCTCATGGGGTCCCCTATTGACCCTGGGCCCTCGGGCAGTGCCCGAGTACCTAAATATTCAGTCCGCCCCTGGTAAGCCAACAGCTGGTTCACAGTACAGCAGGACACCAAAGGGCAAATAAGACCTGGAAGTTGAATCTGCAGAGTTAGAACAATTTGAAGGACATTGGTAGAAGATGTTCCCTTCTGAGAGCAAGTGACAGAGGGTTCCCTGGAGTGCAAAGTCTAATAGTCAGCCCATATTCACTAGAGCTCATCAAAGAGAAGATGGACTTTGCTGTATGCTGACCCTGGGTTCACCCTACTTAAGACCAGAGACTCAAAAGAAGGTACCCGTAATTAGGACTGGAGCAAGAAGGTACACTGCGATGACAGTCCAGAGGACATACTGTAGCTGATTTTGGACACTCTAGGGAAAGTACAGGTCAGAGATCAGGTCCAGCAGTGCACAGATAACCATGAATAAAGCTAAGGGTCAGAGCAAGTAGCAAACTTGGATACTCAGTAAGAAAGTCAAGGGTTAGGGCAAACAAAACCAGAGGTCTGTACACAGGAGTCAATGGAGGAAAGCAGGCTGGATAGCAGGCAGGTACTGGGCTACACTGCATTTAAATCTACTGATATAAAATTATAAATACTCCATAGTTTGATTTATGTCAGGGTATACCAACATCCCAAGTATTATCTATCCAGAATTTTTTTTTTTTTTTTATGAGACTTTCCAGGTACACATTGCCACTGTATTTTTAACACCTAAGCCTTTAAGGCACAATTTTTATTTTGTTCTATTCTGTTCTGTTTACTTTTTGTTGTGTTTTGTTTTTTATTCTATTCAATAGTTTTTTTTTAAATTCTATTCATTTCTATTATTTTATATTCTATGCTATTCTATTCTATTCTTTTATTTTCTATTCTATGTTTGATTCTATGCTATTCTGTTCAAAATTCGAATTTGGGAAGAAAGCTGTATTCTAACACTAATACACATAGTCTTTGAAGGAAATCAGCAATAGTCAGCAATCTTTTTATATTTCAAATTTGTTTTCATATTCGATTTAATTCTCAAATTCAATTTAACTTCAATTTGAATTTCAGATTAAAATTTGTTTACTTATTTCTGATTCATTTAATATCGTCACTATTGTAATTCGGAAAAATTTGGATACATTTGAATCTCTGAATTTTGATTCAGAACGAAACAAATCTCACATGTCTAGTGTTTAGGGGAGGGTGACCTCCAGACTTTATCCTTCACTAAGACAGCACAAACCAGAGGGAGGATCTCAATAAAGTAGAGCTTTAGGAAGGTTAATCTAGGGATGTTTATTGAAGCACAAAATGAGTTTGAGGATTGGATATAATGGGTGATTCATCTTTATTTACACCATAGGAGCATTCTTTGGAGTTTTTTTTCTCTTGTCTTTTTCTATCTTGATGCAAGTTGGATTTGGCTGATGATGATGTTTTCTGAAGACTCGTTAGTCTCTTTGAAGGTCTCCCTAAAAATTCCCCTGGGATAATTTGGACTGTGAATGTATGAATAACCTTTTTGCTTACTCTGGCTATACTCTAAGACACATTTTACCTTGGTTAAATCAGATAACCTACAAATTGGAATAATAATCAAAATCAAGTCAAATACCTTCTATACCTCTCCTAGGGGATGATCAAATAAATATAAAATCCATTTATAAGAATTCTCTAGTCCATTATGAAGCTTCACTAGAATATTGAAGGTATGCAGTTTAATTTTCAATGCTGGTAAAAAAATATCCTATTCAGAGTCAAAATATAAAATAAGGGTAATCTTGTGTATATTCCAAGGAGTTTGTAAAGCTTTGTATATCAGCTCAGCCTGTTGTTCCCTGTCCTCTATCCTTCTCAGGGTCCCAGGTCAGACTTCTGGCAATGCTCACTGTTGGACAGTATGATGTTTTTAATAACTGGTGGCTGCTTTGTAAATGCAAATGCATAGACAGATGTAAATTTATTTATTTATTTCAGGTACTTATATAGCACTGTCAATTTACGCAGCACTTTACACATATATATATTGAACATTCACATCAGTCCCTAACTCTCAAGGGGTGTACAATCTAAGGTCCCTAACTCACATTCATATATACACATATTAGGGCCAATTTAGACAGGATCCAATTAACCTACCAGCATGTCTTTGGAGTGTGGGAGGAAACCAGAGCACCCAGAGGAAACCCACACAAGCACAGGGAGAACACGCAAACTCCATGCAGAAGGCGCCATGGTTGGGAATTGAACCCATGACCCATTTACTGCAAGGCAGACATGCTAACCACTAAGCCACTGTGCCGCCCATATTTGCTATATTTGTAAAACTAGACATACCAGTATGCAAATTCACATTTCATTTGCTGTCCTGAAGACATGGACTTTGGTTCATGAAACAAAAAGAGTCTCCACCTGCTCGATGAATTATATTTGGAAAAAGTTCCCATCTGCCTGGTGGAGTCTATCTAACTACTAAGAAAATCCATTAATTGACAATACAGTAATGGCAGAACATATCATGTATGACAATATCCAAAATGTACTATGCAATCAGCCATGTTTTTGATTCTCTTTTAAAAGTTGTGCCTTATAGGCATATATTGTAATAAAAGGATGTTTTAATTTACAAACACAGAGTAAAATGTGTGTGCGCCTGGGAAGTCCTATTAAACTGTGGTTTCTGGATATTTTAATTGACAAGGTAAGTAACAGTACCCCACTTCTTACAAGCCCCCCCCCCCCCCACAGTCTTTCAAAGGCAAGCACCAGCCATGTGCTTTTTTTTATAAAGTTTTTCCCATTGAAAAAAAAAAATATGTACTATTGATGATCATGAACTCCTTGCAATTCATTTTGGTGC